CCATCAAAGTTCATCATGTTCTTCATCACATGAAGGTGTGCGGCCGCACACCTTCATAAGGTGGCCGTACACACCTTAAAGCTCTCCAAAGTGAAGAGTTTGGCCTTCATTCACTAGTAGGACTTGGTATTAGCATAAGAACACCTCAAAATCAACATTTCGGGCACAAATGAGGAGTGTACGGCCGCACACTCCTGTGTACGGCCGCACACTCCTGTGTGCGACAGCAGACACATGCTGACCGCACACCCTGGCCGCACACACACCCTTTTGGCCGTACACCTCCTTTGTTTGATCATATAGGGTCCCGACAAGCATTTCCAAGTCTTTACGGTGGTTTCCCGTCATGTTTGGCCATGAAACACCCTAATTCTAACACACATATGTGTTATCACATGTTAATAGGATCCACTTGCGTACGAAACATCGGTTGACACTCAGCATTCGTAACCGATCATACACCCAGATCCTACGTCAAACGGTGAGTTCATACCCCTACATTTTCCGTGTTTTTAATGTTTTCAGGGGGAATACAAGCCAAACTCAAAGTATTTTGTTAAGTTATAAACTTATTAATGTAGTCCAACGATTTCCACGTTTAAAACATATTCGGATATTTTATCTCTTTTTGTAATATGTTGAGCATAAGGGAAAACTTCTATTTTGGAAATCCAACTTCATAGTCTTCAGAAAGGTTTTTACAAAGCATTTTCCATATCAACTCTAATAAACTATAATGGGTATAGTTTGGGATAACCCTCTAGGCAGTCTCTACTTAATCAGATTTCATAAATGAATATATATAAACTATGGCAGATTTAGTTTATGTTATATGCTTTCTCAGGAGTATAAAGTACATTTATTCAAGGATACTTACTGTTTTATACTGATTTCTCGCTAGTAAACTAGATTATACAAAATTGTGAGGCGCTACTTCAATATTGTACCCTTAGGTGTATAGTGATAAATCCTTTTAGTATAACCATAGTCTCCTGGAGGGAGAGCGTGAGATTTGTGAATAGATCTATTCGGGACTGACAATCCCACACCAGAACTGCTAGCTACAGTTAGGCGGGCACGCCTGTGGTGAACAAATGTCATTTAGCTTAACGCCTGAAGAACGTTATAAAGGTCTCTCGGTCATATCAAGTATGGTTATACGACTCGCAAATAAGTATAAACTTACCTTGTTTACGGACTCTACTCTTCACTTGTTTTATTTTGATTAATAAAACTACTTTCATGTATATACCGATAGTAATCATGGGTTTTCAAAACTTACATCTCTACCTCTAGTACGGATAACCTGTTTTTAGGGAAAATATAGGATTTTCCCAAGATAACACCGGCATTTCTAAAACTGATGGTTTATTTTCTACTAATGGACACTCTTTCAAAACCGTTTTTCATAAGAAAATATAGGATTTTCTTGAGGAACACTTTTCAAAAGGATTCAAAGAACATTTTCCACCAAAACCAAAATGCTTATGAACTCACCAACCTTATGCGGATACTCTATCAAAACTGCTTGTATTCTCAGGGAATTAGTAAACATGTACTTTCAGGAGCTCGGAGAAGTCGAAGTGTTAGAGTCGCGTCTTTCTATTTTGCTTTTGATATGAACAAAACTATGTATTAAAACAATGTAAACCTCTTTCATATATGTATTAAATGTCTGGTTGTGTTTACTATGTTTGCTATGATACAATTGTTGTGATACTACGCATGACGTCCTCCACCCCGGAACGTTTCCGCCATCGGTTTCGGGGTGTGACACCTCCTCCTCCGTACATCTGTAAATCCCCACCACCACCTTCACCCTCACCTCCCCCGCCTTATGTATACAAATCTCCTCCTCCACCATCACCATCACCTCCTCCTCCGTACATCTATAAATCCCCACCACCACCTTCACCCTCACCTCCCCCACCTTATGTATATAAATCTCCTCCTCCACCATCACCATCGCCTCCTTCTCCATACATTTACAAATCGTCACCGCCACCTTCACCCTCACCTCCCCCACCTTATGTTTACAACTCACCTCCGCCACTGTTGCCATCACCGCCTCCTCCTTACATCTACAAGTCGCCGCCACCACCTTCACCCTCGCCTCCCCCGCCTTATGTATACAAATCTCCTCCCCCACCATCACCATCGCCTCCTCCTCCATACATTCACAAATCCCCACCGCCACCTTCACCTTCACCACCTCCTCCTTATGTTTACTAGTCACCTCCCCCACCGTCACCATCACCGCCTCCACCTTACTTTTACAAGTCGCCACCGCCACCTTTACCCTCACCTCCCCCGCCTTATGTTTACAAGTCACCTCCACCACCATCACCTTCACCGCCTCCTCCTTACATCTACAAGTCTCCACCACCACCTTCACCTTCACCTCCCCCACTTTATGTATACAAATCTCCTCCTCCACCATCACCATCGCCCCCTCCTCCATACATCTATAAATCCCCACCACCACCTTCACCCTCACCTCCCCCGCCTTATGTATACAAATCTCCTCCTCCACCATCACCATCACCTCCTCCTCCATACATTTACAAATCGCCACCGCCACCTTCACCCTCACCTCCCCCACCTTATGTTTACAACTCACCTCCGCCACCGTCGCCATCACCGCCTCCTCCTTACATCTACAAGTCGCCGCCACAACCTTCACCCTCGCCTCCCCCGCCTTATGTATACAAATCTCCTCCCCCACCATCACCATCGCCTCCTCCTCCGTACATTTACAAATCCCCGCCGCCACCTTCACCTTCACCACCTCCTCCTTACATCTACAAGTCTCCACCATACTACGTATAAGAAAGATATCAAGCATATTTTCAATTAACTAACTAAGTTGTTTAAACAATCTTATACACCTTGCTTGTGAATTTCAATGTTTATGGGTACCTCATTTTCTTATTTATTTGTTGCAAACGTTTATTACTTTGTGTTATAATTTACATCTCAAAAATATTATTCAATACTTTAGTTATGTATATCGGTTTTGTTTATTTATCTTGTTAACGTGTTTATGCTTTTCGTATGTAATTTATATTCCAAGTGCTCGAGTCATGCATTAGTCAACGAAATGGTTTTACAAGTACGATAAGGAAAGTTGCCAGTAGGTTGAAGATTCACGTGTCGGTTTACAAAAAGTTGTAATTTATTAGTATATTAGGGTTCTTTGAGTTGGTAGTTCAACAATGGGATCCGGTGATTGTTTCAAGAACGACCGATATTGCTGTTTATCTTGAACATTCGCAACTGTCGACAACAACCTAAAAAAAATCTCATAACATTTGTGATATTTATTCATTTTGGAGTAAATACGGCTATATATACACATCAAATTCCTTCGTTTCGAGGCTTTGGTTTTCTCTAATATGTATACACCTTAACTCGCAGTCCATAATACCATAAAGAAAGGTTGACACAATCCATCCGATAACCCAAGTTTTTTATTATTTCATACCCCGTTAGCTTATTTTCCGGTCATAGACATAGGATTCAACATGTCGATAACATTGATCCTTCATTGGCATAAATGAACTATATGCGGATGACAACCGATTATCAACTTAATTTTCCCAATTATATACTATGCAATTTTATGAATTGAAACTATAAAAGGGGCTGATGGATTGAACATAGATCTAACATACATGTTAAGGGTATAAGAATCAAGAATGAGTCATAATATGATAGTTTATTTTTATATGTGAATTGCCTTCCTAAACCATATTATTTGATATTTTACTTTTATAAACAGGACATAGTTTATAAACTAGTCACAATATGATTATTTTTAATGGAATGGTTATCTTCTTGAATACATTCATGATTCTGAAATGTGTACAAAAACAAGCACAGCGAGTTACGTGTAATTTTACAGATACCATGTGTGGAAGATATACGTCGAATTGGAAGTGCTTCTCTAGTAACTGTCCTCATCGTTTCTGACTTTAGAAGGTAATAGCGAAGGAAGTTCTTGAAGACCTGCCCGTTTAAGCAATTTACAAGAGGAAGTATTATTCGGATATAAAGCAACCACCATTTGTGATGTTGTGAAGCTGGTTGTAGAGTTGAATATATAGCCTTCGAATCTTTGTTATCGCGAAACAAGGTCTCTAGGTTTTGCCCAACCTGTCGAGCAGTTGCATTCTTTAATTTTAGGATCACCTGAAGTAGAGAAAGGGAGATGGCTCCAAGTGTCCTAGTTAAAACGCTCAGGATCCCGAATTAGCATGATGTAAAGTTTGATGTTTGTAATCAGATAGTGTTTTTCTGTATTGCTAGGAGAAGCCATGAGGAAGAAGCCGAGAGAGAAGGTGATCGGAAGAAGAGAATAATGTGGTCTGAGGCTAGGTTCAGATGAGAGGAGAGATATAAGATTTAGAGGAAAGGATTAAGGAAATATTATTTATAAAGAAAACATCTCAGTACCGACATCTTAGAGAAAAAAGAATAGAAATATGGACACTCACAATCGAGTAATAAAGAATTTTGTTGTGGTCATTTTTGAAAATGTTAAAAATGTGGGTTAGAAACTTAAAGCCCCCCATTCCAGGTTCCTTTTGTGATTATCCCTTAAAGAAATATCCGTTCGTTTTGGGGCTTTGGTTTTCTCAAATATGAACATTCCTTAAAGAAAGTGTAACACAATCCGTCAAATACCCATGATTTTTATTATCTCATACCCTGTTTTTGTGACATTTTTTCTACTAATTACATCATTTTTATAAGTTTTGAATATAAACACCATCCGATTAATTTATTTTATATTCAAAGACACTGATTCACAATCTCAATAACATTGATCTTCATTGGCATAAATAAACTATAGTATCAAACTTAATTTTCCCAATTACATACTATGCAATTTTATGAATTGAAAGTATAAAAGGGGCTGATGGATTGAACATACATGTTAAGGGTATAAGAATCAAGAATGAATCATAATATGATAGTTTATTTTTATATGCAAACTGTCTTCCTGAACCATATTATTTGATATTTTACTTTTATAATCCAGATATAGTTATAAACTAGTGTCACAATATGATGATTTTTAATGGAATGGATATCTTCTTGAACACATTCATGATTCTGAAATATGTGTACAAAAACAAGCACAGGGAGTTTTGTGTAATTTTACAGATAGCATGCATAATGCATGGAAGACACACGTGTGCTCCCCTAGTTAGTAGCTGTCTTCATCGGTTTCTGACTTTCGAAGGTAATAGCGTAGGCAATTCGTCAACACCTGCCCATTTAAACAGTTTACAAAAGGGTATAATAGTAATTTCACTTTTTTTCTCTGAAAAAGAACGAGACCATTTTGGTTACCTGAGACAAAGAATCGTTTAAAGATGCCCCTCTGTAGCTAACGTGAAATTTATCTTTTGCAATCAACCCCTGTACCATAAAAAAGAGGGAGAAAATGACTGAAATGCCCTTGTATTTTCTACATATTTTTTAAAAAAATAACATACTTCAGTATCAATTTCTGCTGATTCCATAGTAACATTGACATCAGCCATTATCTTGACAATTTCTAGAAGCAATCCAGGTCTATCTTCTGTCTCTACACACAGCAAGCTAAAAACAAAATACACATTACAGGTGGTAAATTTCAAATGCTGAAAATGTGAAAAAGTTTATTATTTTTTTATTTTGGTATTTGAAAAATTACTGTAAATTGCATAGTTGCTAACCTTCTTTTAGGCCCAGCATCCTTGACGTGTATATGAGTCTCTATATCTCTATCAAACTGCCATCAAGATACAAACTTTTATTTGAATGATATAAAATTTATAGGGAAGGAGTTTATTAATCTCTATAAAATTTATATATGACAAAGATAAGTAATCAAAAGTCCAAAATGCCCCTTGAAGTGATCTCTACAATATATTTGTTAAAGAAAATTACCTTCTTGACTGGAGCTTGTATGCCAAAAGCCTCCCCCATTGCAAGTCGTGCACTAGACTCCTTAAATTTATAAATAACAAGAAAGCATCAAACCAAATATATGTTCATAGATCATAATAACTGAATTAACAGATAAATATGAAGTGATTATTCATAAATTAGGTCATCAGGTAGGTATAAATACCGGATGATACTTCAACAGATTGTTTATGATGGTCAATCTGATTCTCTCCAAGAGATCAGGATCTTCAACTTTTCGTCCGGTTGATCTATAAAAATAAAAACCATTATATAAAAAAGAAAGTGACACCTAATTACTATGAAGCACACTCACAATCGAGTAATAAAGAATTTTGTTTCAATGACTGATCCTTCAGTTGTAACAGTTCCTTTTGCTACATCTAAGCCTAGATCCTTCAACGCCTTCATCTGCATCACATATGCAAGCTTATTAGCTATAATTTACAGAAATTTTGTTGTTTGTTCAGAACAACAAGGGTATTATGGTCAAAAAAGTAAGTAATACTTGTCATTTACCGTATCAATGAGGGCACCAAGACGATCACCAAAGCTAACATGTACAATAGTTGCAGATGGATCTGAACCTTGATCAATTAAAACAATTGGAGTAGGAATATTATCAGCATCCTGTTTAAGAATATGTAACAGAGATACAATGTTAATGTCAAGAAGAAGAAAAAAGAACTTGGATTATATAGCAGATAAAGTATAAGAAACTGACCAAAGAGCTTACACCCAGTGAGTCGACACCATCAATGGAAGCTTGAAAAATGTTCCTGCATAACAGTTCAATTAGTACTGAACACAGTTTGATTAAGACATCTAACTTACAAAACTTGCTGCATTTTTGTTCAAACTGTGTGAAAGGTGAACAAACAGTAACCAGTTCAATCTGACCGGATTATCAACCCAAATTAGCACAAATCAGAACATATCTATCGATCCGCTACTATTAACAACGTTTTTGACCTTCTATGAAGAAAATGTCTGCTTAGCAACAAAAGTATTGACAGAAAACGTATTGTCAGGAATAGTGATCCTGATTAGGTCAATTCGTTTATATCATTTTCACCTCTTCCACTTTGACTTTGTCTGAAGTACAAAAACCATACGGAATTTCTCGCAAAACCCTCGTACTTTTATAGAACAAACGAAAAAACAGATTGACAGGTAAACAATCGAAGCTAATTATCAGTCAGTTAACCCACATATACTACATGATTAAACACGATTTTTCATTCATTCGTAGAGATCAAAACATCATTTCCATCAAAATCTCTGACTATCAAACAGCAACAGACCTTATTTACCAATTTTTTCCAGATATTAAACTTACTTTCTAACAAAATGAGATGATCCACGGGGAGAGAAAGCGAGGTGAGGTGAAGACGACTTGAACGGAGAAAGCTGAGGAATCGTTGAATATGAAAAATCGAAACCGGAAAGTCTGGCAGAAGAATTACCACGGATAGTGACGGCGGAGAAGGCAAAGGCGGGACCGGCGGCGGCAGTGGCCATGGATTATCAAGTGTTTTGAGTTTTCCGGCAATGGGAGTTGTTTGTAATGGAGACGGAGTGACGTGAGGGAGGAGTGATACATAATTCAGAGTTCGAATATTAAAGGCGTTTATGGACCCCACGTGGGACCCAGGCCACGTCAAACTGCACCTCTCTGTACTAAAATATTCGTCTTGTTATCCAAAAATAAGTCCAAAAACAATTTTTGACTCTTGGTTTATACTTTATTATACTTTAGAAGTTAAGTAAAATAATGTAAATATATTAGCTTAAGAAAAGGAAACTTTATATAAGACTTATTGTAGCTCTGTATTTTATCTAATTTAACCATCTGAGGGTTTTTTTTAATTTGAATATAAAAGTTTTGAATAATGAGGGCTTAAAAGATACTCCCTCCGTTACATATTAATAGTTCATGTATACTTTTTGGTTTGTCCCAAAATAATAGTCTACTTTTAAAAATAAATATATCTTTTACGATAATACCCCTCATTATTAGTTAATTTACTATAAAATTAAATGCAACTATCATGGAATTAAATGCAACAAAAAGGATAAGACTGTCATTTCATTTAATAAAGTTAATGGTAATTAATGTTTTCTTAATTTGTGTGTTTTTTGTCTGTAGACAATTATTTTGAGACGGAGGTATTAATTTTAGAATTAACGAGGCTTAAATGAACAAGATTTAGTTAGTTTTAGTTTGCTGTTGACTTCTAGTCAAGATAAAAGAGATAGATTGCAGAGGGCTCAACATCCATATTCCCCCTATTAGCTCTACCACTGACATAGATGAAATGAATCTAGTTATCTTCATATGGCATATGGGACAATGGGTAAAAAAAACACCATTACTTAGGAGAAAAAGTTGATTTTATGTCCCACATCATGAAGAGGAAAGTCGTCACCCTAATCATTTGACCAATAGTTGTGGTTGTTGATGATAAGGATGTTCCCCGTGAAGGGGGGAGGTTTATGTTTCACATCATTTTATTAAAGTCCATACAAGTAATGTCTTATAGAAAAAAAATTTGACACGTCATTAATATAATCGGACCCTTTATACTCGGTTAAAGTGGATTTATATAGAGAAAATAAAAATTAAAAAAATAATAATAAAAAAAATGGTGTTGTAAAATCATAAGAATAATTCAAGTCAGGTTTATATATAATTCGAAGTATTATATTATTAGTTTTGATTTGATAGAAGTTAAATCATAACAAACATCTAGGAATGGTTAAACTTAAGCCAAAAAATTGACAAACTACATGATTTTATAAAAATTTGCCCATAAAAATATGGCTATATGGGCAGCACAACCTCATGCCCATATCAACCAAACACTTGCCTCTTACCGAGAAAAGAAGACATGCACTGAGCCCATGACATGCCAAGATCTATGTCGGAGGTGACTAGCTCCTTGTCGTCCCACTCCTCTTAGAGGTAACAGATCAATTTTAGAAAAAAAAATGCAAATTGTGGAGAGAGAGAGAGAGAGAGAGAGAGAGAGAGAGAGAGAGAGAGAGAGAGAGAGGATGTGTCCAATTGTTTGAAATAAAAAAAAATGTAAAAAGTATTTTAGAAAGATACAATAGTCATTTCAATTTAGAGAGACAGCAATTACGAGGGGGTATTATTTGATTTGGAATCGAAAACCAAAACCGAATTCTAACCAAACTAGATTTCAAATACGGTATTTAGTTTGGTTTTGAAAACTGAATTATGGATTTGAGTTATGGTCCAGTGGAATTCGAACTGAACCAAACCGAACTACCGAATTTCATGTATTAATTTACATATTATATTTCTTTATACTGTATAAATTAAATAAGCAAATGCAAAAAATATTGTGATATTCCATATTTCGCAGACTACTGAATTTCATGTATTAATTTACATATTATAACTCTTTATACTTTATAAAAAAAATAAAAAAATAAAAATGTGATGTTCCATATTTTGCGGACATCGATTTCTCAATTTCAATATCTCATAAGTCCCCTCGTTTAGTCCATTCTTCATGCTTTCGTTTTGTTTAAGCATCTAGAACACTGACACACATTTGCCTACTATCTCCTCACTCTGTCGTCGTTAAAACTATTGGAAGTCTGATTATATTTCTCTCTAATTAATTTCTACTGTAAATTGCTCTATCTATTTTAAACCATTTATTTTTGTTTTGTTTGGAACTTGATGTTTGATGTCTGGAACTTGTATTTATATTTCATTTGGAACTTTATGTTTGATGTTTGAAACTTTAGATATTTATATTTGAAACTTTGGATTTTATTTGTAACCTTAAAATTTTGGTTTCACTCAGGATTTCAACTGAACCAAACCAAACTGTAATTTGGTTTTGGTTGTCTTAAATTTGGTTTGCTTTTCAGTTTGGACCCAAAAAAAATCAAACAGAGGAAACCAAACTGATTCCCACCCCTAAACCAAATGGCTATAACCTTTAAGTGAGAGCATTCTATGCAAATGGTATACTTTAGGGACTTGAACCCAAAATTTTGCTAAACACAAAGACCAAATTTGTAGTTTTCTCTAAAATATATCATCTGGATTGGTAAAAAAATGCTTTGTTATTTCCTATTAACTTTTTTCTATAACAGCAAAATAAATATTAAATAGGTCGGACAAATTAAGACAAGCACTGAAAAAACTTATTTAAAATCAACGCATCCACAAGCAAACAAATCAAAAATTGTAACTTTTAATGGACCAACTTATTGATCCACCCTTTTGTAATTTACCTTCTGAGTGGATCCCAACAAAAATGTTTCGATTATCCCTAGGCACTAGCCACTATTAGTAAGGGATCTTTTTTTCTACAAAAAGACACCTGATTTGACTAGACACCTGCCAATAATACATCCAATACCAATCATCACGCGCTTAAATTCCATATCCTTCATATTTACCTATTTGAAATTGCACAATCATTTTGGAGAAGAATCCAATTGGGGGAAAGTGTGATTCTATTCCCACAGACATTACCATTTACCATCACTAAAGCCGACCCAAAAGCACCACATCATAAAAAGTAACCTTACAGCTTATAGTAAAAAAAAAAATGCAAAAGCAGACTAAACGAATAAACTGTAAATTTTTCCTACCAAAAAAAAACATCAAGTGTGTAGCAAAAGTCGCACCAAAAACACAGTAAGGATACACATGAATTTTCTGCAATCACATTTCTCAAGCCTCTTTTCTTGTGATCCTGTTATTTTTACCACTTAGTTAGCAACCATATATAATCAAGAAAAAAGAAAAAAAAATGGTTTATACCTGAAACAATAGATTCCAAGTGCTGTTGTGATTTCGTGAATCACTGATGTAGCAAAGTGTAGATACAGTGCACCTGAGAGATATTCATGACAAAAGAATATATTCAATTACAATTTCATCAAAAATTTTAAGTAATAATGTTGATTTTTAGATACCTGTGTATAGACAGAAACCTAGCAGAACCCATTTCTCATCAATTAGGGGAATTCTGCCACATATTTCAATAACCATTTTTAGCCAATCAAATGCAACAAACAGCAATGTACTTTTTATTTTATTTTTTGTTTCCTAATTATTATTATTATAGCATCAGATTGTGTGATTGAAAGAACTAAAAGTAGATTGCTATAATAAACAAATGAGTGAGAAATATGTTGCTATTTCTAGCATTAGAAGATGAAAAAAGTGGGATTATATTTATAGGTTAGAAGACCACATACCCCTCATTCAACCAGGCAGTGAGTGCATTTGCAATGGCAAGCGGGAGATAGAACAAGGACTAAAAAGGAAAATAAAATGGATTAGTAAATCATATCATTGACTATTTAAAAGATGTGATTAGTAAATATTTTAATTAAAACTTACCATGGACATACTAGTTTTTAATCCCTTAGGCTCATCACACAAGTGAGCCAATATCATCCTTCCCTGCAAATACATGAATAGTCATTAGTGATTAGTCAGTCTCCCACATTTCTAAAAGAAGCCAAAAAACTATAAATTTAATTTTCAGTTTATAATTTGTAATTTGAGTTTTATATTCCACATAGAATGAAATCTTACCACAAGGAACCCAAATGCTAGTCCAACTCCCATAACAACCATATGTGGGTAACTCCCGATCAAATCATATGGAGACATAAAATCCCTATACATATATAATGCCTCAGAATGACAAATCCTCAAATCTTTCTAAAAATAAGTGTTTAAATTTTTGGGACATATGGAGTAAGAAAAATAGAAAAAGGCACATACCACAGAAGAACTACTGCCAAGAGTACACCAAATGGGACAAGCTGTCATGGAAAGATAAAGAGGGGCAAATAAGTCTTTTAACAATCAAGACATGAGCCATATGATTAAGAAAAAAATCGCCATTACTTATTACCATGGCCAAGGCCTTTAGCATGCTTCCATGTCTCATGCATACAACCTTATAAACATTCTGCACACTAAAACCATAAATAAATAAATAAATAAAAATCAAAGCAAAATGATATAAAAGAAGAGTAAAATTAATTTAGAAAAAGATATATACTTACTTGAAGGTGAGTGTTGGTATAACTGCAAAAACTATCATACAAAACAAAACTGCTCCATATGTAGGGATTCCTGAATTCAATAATATAAAAAGATTAAGCAAAAAATGTGTGTATGTGTTTGTGTGTGTTTGTGTGTGTGTGTGTGTGTGTGAGAGAGAGAGAGAGAGAGAGAGAGAGAGAGAGACCATCTATAAAAGGAACCCAACCCAAAAGGGGAATAGACTTCCCAACATCTTGTGCCCACCACTCAGCACCTGTAATTAAAATGATCATGTGAATAAATAAACAATTAAATAATGTTACAAAAGGAGTGAATAGAAGATTCTAGAAGCCTAAGAGTTGCATACCAACTATAGCAGTGAAGAAATGTGCCACGTAGATCAGCATGAGACCCTCTGTAGGTCCATTTACTGCTGGAAGGATTAATGTGTTTGTAAAGTAACTGCAACATGAAAACTAACTTCAGCATACTTATAATTATTAATTCTAAAAAAATAAAAAAATAAAAAAACTTTTGTTACTTACTGTTCCCATGTTGCTCCAT